AAACGTTCCATGATGTTTATAGCAGCCATCACGGACATTGCACATGGAAACATGGGAAATGCTGCCCTTTTCTGGGAGGAAGATAATCTTTAAGAGATGGCAACCAGGAAATCAAAGCATTTGGTACACAACAGCCTCCCAAGCAGGGGGGTTTGCCCAAGGAACGTGGCCACAGCCACAGATGTTTCCTCCAGAGGCAGAAGTGCTGCGAGGGGCTGTTCCTTCGGAGGAACCGGAACGAGAGAAATCCCTGCACACGCTTTTCCTCCCCCTCCTCAACCCTGTGGAGAAAAAACAGCCCCAGTGCTGGATTTTTCAATGGAAACATTTCCCTAAAAGCCGTTTGTTCCTCCCTTTGGAGCAGTAGAAGATGATGAAATTAAAAAAAAAAAGCATGCACAAAATAAAGGCATGACTTGGAGACAATGTTTAACCATCCCTTTCCTGATTTTTTTTTTTTTTTTTAATTGGGATAATGGGATAAAACCTCTATCCTTCCAGGCTGCTTCTTGGGAGGGGATCAGGGAGATGCTGGAGGGTTGGATGTGGACCTGAATGTGAGATGCAAGGAAAAAGCCTTGATGGTGAGAGATTTTCTTCTCCCTGAAAACAAACAGTCTCTGACTCTTGTAGCTCAGAGCTTACCCAGCTTGTTTACTGTTGTCTTTGGTGGCTTGAAGCTGTGTGGCCTTGTCTGTGTTCCAGGAAACGCATGGACATGGCTGGCTGAAGGAAAACCCTCACGCCTGTGCAGTTTTGGGGTGGCACAGAGCCACCCCGGCCTCATTGTTAGCAGATTCCAGCCTTGCCTCACTGCTCTGTGCCACACACCACGCTGGCACTGATGGCTTCCAACAAAAACCCCCTCCAAAGCCACCCTGTCCTCCACCACGGGGCTGGTGCTGGTTTCGCTCTGCGTTTCTGCCACGAATGAGGGTAGGGAGGAAGGGAGAATGGTCCTGGGAAGGTCACGTCCCTCGTGGACCACTGGTGGTCACTGCTGATCCCAAACCCAGCTCCAGGGCGTCACTCCAGACAAACTTCCCCCACTGAACCTTCAAAAACAGCAACAACAGCTCCACAGCAGCATCCCAAGTGTTTGTGCCATGAAAGGAGCTGGAAAGAATGTGCCTGACCACATGACAGGCGAGGACATCGGGCTGTGCAGAGAATAGAGAGCCTCAGCCTGAATTATTGGGAACAAAGTTGGCTCAGGAAAGCATTTCCCATTGTGCTGCTGAACGTTTCTTCTCATCACACAGCTCTGCTGTGCTAGGGATCACTTCACTCCCTGTGAAAAGCAGAGCAGAGATCTATCAGCAGCATTTCAGACTTCTCTGCAGCATCCAGGCACTGCTTTGCCACTGTTGATGGTTTTCTGGTGAGCCTCAAGCAGTAAAACTGGGCCAGGAGCTGCCCGAGATGAGGCACATTTTGTGTCTTTGTGCACAGGTCACAGCTACAGCAGGTACAGAATGAGGAATTATGGCTTGAGTAAGTATTCTGCTCTTTAAAGGCTGTTCATTCAGGCAGAGAGTATTTCAGGGTATGGATTTTATGGTTTGATCGTTGGTATCTTGCATAACCTTGGTCTCGACCAAAGTAAAACATCAGCAGGTTTCAATTCCTTGAGATTTCTCATCAGATCAGAACCCAAGGATTCGATAAAATCTCTTGCATTTCAGAGTTTTGGGGACTTACAGAAATGCCTCCTGACTCTGCTCTAAGTGATGCCTTCCTGAGCATGCAGAGAACCTGGAACAGCTCTGACAGAGGCAGACTGCCCCATTCACTTTTCCTACACCATCCCTTAGGTTCCTTTAGGGTCAGCCCACAAGAGAAAATCCACATCATACAGCTGGAGACACCAGAAGGCCGTGCAGGGCTGTGCCTTGGCCACTCTTGTGCTTAATTAATTTCATTTAATTCAACAGCACTTTGGCAGCTGGCACTGAAATGTCTTTTAGCTGGAGAAGAGCAGCAGCAGGAGCTCCATCCCTGCCCCTGCTTCCCTGACTCTCCAAGGTAGAACTGCACTGATTTCAGAGAGGGATTCACTGACTGGGATGGCAGCACCTGAATAACCTCCATCAAAAATACAAGGATCACTGCAGCATTTTTCCAGTCCATTCAAAATGCCAACAAGCTTAAGCTTACAGTAATTATTTTTCTTCCTAACCACAGTTCACAGAATCATAAAAGAGCTCCAGCATCATCAAATCCATTCTGTGACCCATCCCCACCTTGTCACCAGCCCAGAGCACTGAGTGCCAGGTCCAGCCCTTCCCTGGGCACCTCCACCACCTCCCTGGGGAGCCCATTCCAATCCCTGGCCACCCTTTCCGTTAAGAAATTCCTCCTGATTTTCAACCTGTTGCATACCCCTAGTTAGCATCTCCTCACAGCATGGTTTGGAGTTTAACTATCAGCTGGGAAAGCAACAGGATGTTGGGTAAACACAGTGAAACGTGGCAGTGAAATACATGAAAGAAAAAAAAATGACAGGCTGGAAAGAGGCAAGATTTTGGACACTGCTCACCTGTGGCTTCACCCAGAACCACAACTGCAAACAGAAAAACATCCAGATGTTTGTCCAAACAAAACTGGCCCCTGGCTGCAGGCTGGGCTGGCAGGAAAGCAAGAAAACGTACCACATTTACAGAACACATAAACAGATCTGCACTGAAACTCAAGATGGGAAGAAAGGAAAGAAGGTAGAGGATGTGATTCCCACAAATGTGACCAGAAAAGGGTGGATCCACCTGAAACGCAACAGGGGAAGTTTGAGATGCTGAAGTTTTCGTTGGCAGAGTCATTGGCTTTTAACTACTAAGGTCACCTGGACATCTTCAGCAGAGCAAGAAATATCCCAGAGTCAAAAGGAACAGCAAATGATCTCATTACTCAATTTGCCATCATCTGGAAAGGGCAGGCAGGGATGGATAATTATTTTTTTGCTTTTCTTTCCTCTGCTTTGGAAGCTGATGATGCAGGGAGTGTGTTTGGGTAGTAACATAACCCTGGCTCTCAGCCATGAAGGCACAAGGCCTGAAATGAGACCCAGAGGGTTTTGTGCAGTGCTTGTCTGAATTTGGGCTCAGTGATACTGCAAATCACTTGGAGCTGTACAAAGAATGGAATGGAACTACTGATTTTTTCCAGATCCTTTGCTGACCTTACAAGAAGTTCACAGAATCACAGGATGGTTTGGGTTGGAAGGGATTTGAAAGATCATCGTGTTCCAACCCCTGTTGAACAAGACACCTTCCACCATCCCAGGGTGCCCCAAACCCAGTGTCCAGCCTGGCCTTGGGCACTTGCAGGGATCCTGGGCAGCCCCAGCTGCTCTGGGCATCCTCCCAGGGGGATTTCTCCCTGAGATCCCATCTAACCCTGCCCTCTGGCAGTTTGAAGCCACTCCAGAGCCATGTCCAGTGTCCCTCTCCATCGGGAGGAGGAGTCAGTTCCATTTGGAAAGTTCTGAGCTCACCCCTGAGCCTTCCTCCCTCCAGGCTGAACAATTCCAGCTCTCTGTACCTTGCCTCCATCCCTCTGCTCATCCTGCTGCCTCCTCTGGACTCTGCCAGCAGCTCCTGGTCCTTCCTGTGCTGGGATCCCAGGGATGGATGCAGCTTTCCTTCAGCCCTTCCCTGCAGAGCCATGTGATAACGCTGAGAACTTTTTATTTAATACTGAATAAACGTCTGACCCTCAAGGCATAATAATCTGCTTAAAATATACTTAACAGTACTCCCTGGCTAAAAAAAAAAAAACAACTTTCCAACTCTTACTTTAAAGAAAAAAAAATCCATTTAGATGCTTACTTTGACTACATGCCCAGCATCACTGGCAAAAGTGCTTCTGTTTAAAAAGGATGGCTGGGCCAAAATTTAACTTGTTTTTCAGGAATAGGAAACCCAAGGGGGAAGAAAAAGGTAATAAGAGCCATAGCAGATAAATCATTATTGGCTATTACACTGGAAGGGAATGTTCGTGTCCAGGACAGTGCCTGGGAGCACTTTCACCTGGAGAAGTTGGGTGGTTTGGTCTCACCCTCCTCACTGATGATGAGGAAGAGCATCAGGGATGCTCACACAGCATCAATCTCCAGCAAATTCCCAAAGAATTCCATGCCAGACTAAGCACCAACAAGTTCTGACCATGGTGTGCCTGCTTTTCATTTCCACAACAACAACAACAACAACAACATAAGTAATATTATAAATAATTATTATAATAAATTATTATTATTAATGTTATTTCACAAAGGCAAATGAATCACATCCCATTAGAAGGGACAACCAGGAAAAGCAGCTAATTATAAAATTATATAGGTAAATTATAACATTATAATTTTTTAATTATTTGATCCATCAGAAAAGCAATTTTGGGGAAAAGCAGAGAAAACTGGGATTTGCTTTCCTAAGGTTTACCAAGGGCTGATTTAGCAAAAAGCTGAGAAAAGGGTTCCCATCTTTCCCACCAGCTCTTACTAGAGCTAGAACTAAGGCAGTGTTTCCACAGACACTCTTCAAGGCACAAAAAGGAAAATCCCTTTCTCCCTGGTCATTTTTATAAAAAATAAATTGAAAACTTCCAACAGGCAGAGCCCATTTTTCAGTAAACAGGATTGTCAGCCTTAGGACAGATTCCTGCTGCTGGCTTTTACCCTCACAGGTATAAAGTGATAGGTCTGACCTCAATGAGTGACTGGAACCACCCTGCTGCAGGTGCTAAGGGGCAGGGCTTGAAGCCAGGCTTAAAAAACCACCAAACAGCACCAAAAGCAGAGTGTGGGTACCTTGTGAGCAATTATTTATAGAGAAATGGCTCCCGTGTCACCTGTGGGGACAAACCCTTGCATGTCCAAGAAAGGTTGTGCAGAAATTTGGTTTTGTTAATCCTGTTACAAAAAAACCTTAAAACTTGAGGTTGGCTTCTCACAAAACAATGAAAACACACTTTTTTTTGGGTTTTTTTTTGGTTTTTTTTCTCCTCCATCCTCATTTATGACCATTGATTTCCTCCTTGCCCTTTGCTCCTCTGGCTCTTGGCCAGCTCCACTCTCAGAGCGTTGCCCCCAAGGCTCAGGCCTTGCAAGGAGGACACAGCTCTGTGTGCAGCTCCCTGATCCCTGTAGTGCAGGAAAGCCCTGTGCTGTGCTCCCTGCCACTTCAAGCCAACAGGAACCACCTGCAATTCCCTCAGGGCACTTTTCAGCTCGCTCACTCTCAGACTGCCAGGCAAGTTCCCCACAAACACAGTGCACATTGTGTCACATCCCTCGAATTTGGGATTTTCAGGATCACTTTCCACGTGGGGTTGTCCCACTGGAGCTGAGGCTGGAGCAGCCCGAGCTTGGGGATTTGCAGCCATCACCTCCTTGTTTGAAATTGTTCCTCTCTTGGTGTTTGCCAGGGATGGGTGTTCATCCTGGAGGGTGACATCCTTGCCAGCCTGCTTCTCCCTGCTCCAAAGAGTCTTTAGGATGGGGATTTTCCCCAGCATCTCAGAGCTGACCTAAAAAGAAGGAAAATAATAATAATAATAATAATAATATTATAAAAGGATTTCTTGCCTTCCAGAAAAAGATGATCAGCATCAGAGCTCGTTTGTGCCATAAAAAGAGAGGAACCTTATCCTGCTGCCACACAGAGTGCCAGAGCATTCCAAATGTTCCTAATTGCTGCTCTGATTGGGAAGTCTCCCTAAATACACACTGCAGGACAAAAATAAACATCAGTGGCTCCTGAAGTGAGCAGCACAACATGGATCCAGCAGGCAAATCCCAACCTAAATCAGGATTATTCAATCTGACATTTATTTATCCGAGTGCCTTCAGATCTGCATTCTCCCTGTTCTCTCTGTGTTTGCTTTGACTGAGAGCCTGTGCTCCTGCCCTGGCAGAATCCATCCCAACCCCTGGCATGGCACAATTCCACAAATCCCTGCCCTGGCACAATCCTATACAATTCCCTGCCCTGGCAGAATCCATGCCAATCCCTGTCCTGACAGAATTCCACATAATCCCTGCTCTGGCAGAATCCTACACAATCCATGGCCTGGCAGAATCCTACACAATCCCTGGCATGGCAGAATCCATGCCAATCCCTGGCCTGGAAGAATCCTACACAATCCTCTGACCTGGAAGAATCCTACACAATCCCTGCCCTGACAGAATTCCACAAAATCCCTGCCCTGGCACAATCCTACACAATCCCTGCTCTGGCAGAATCCATCCCAATCCCTGGCCTAGCAGAACCCTATACCATTCCTGCTCTGGCAGAATCTTACACAATCCCTGCCCAGGCAGAATCCTACACAATCCCAGGCCTGGCAGAACCCATCCCCATCCCTGCCCTGACAGAACCCTACACAATTCCCTGTCCTGGCAGAAGCCATCCCAATCCCTGTCCTGGCAGAAGCCATCCCAATCCCTGTCCTGACAGAATCCATCCCAATCCCTGTCCTGGCAGAAGCCATCCCAACCCACCAGACACTTCCATTCTCAGAGCTCCTGGTGCTCTGCTCCCCCAGCACAGGATATCCCGTGGGCTGGCTCACACAATGGTGGAAGCTGCAGCAGGAGCGTGCCTTGGAGCAGGGTTCCTGTGGATGTGGGCCCAGCTGGAGGCACATCCCCTGCTTGGGGCACATCCCCTCTGTGCCATCCGACCTCCCACACCACCCACAGCTCCTCAGATCCCACGTGGATGTGCTGGAGCAGGGAAGGGAAGCGCTCGGACACTGCGCTCCCACTGTGAGCCCGTTACTCCTTCCTTCTGTCCATCCATCCATCCATCCATGCCCTGCTCCCAAAGAGCTTTTCTGGAAGGGCTCTTCCCCTCAGCAGCTGAACCCCATCCATGTGAGGCATGAGATGCCCCAGGCTGCACTCAGACACTGGCAGGAAATGCACTGGTTCCCCAGCTCATGTGGTCGAGCTCTTGGCTTGCACGCTGAGCTTGGAAGGAGGAGGAATTCCTGCTTGGCTGCTGGACAAATCCAACATCCATCAACACCAGATCCAATGCTGAAATGTAGGGAGCAAAACAGAGCCTGGGGAAGCAATGCCTGAGCTAGCAGAGACCCAGGCTGGTAGCCCAGAATGGGAGAGGGCCACCACCCTCAGCAGGCTGGACTGAGCAGCACCAGGACATCCCAGCCAGCACAGCCTGCAGAGCTCCCAGCTCAGACCTCACCCACCCCAGAGCCCCTGAATGAATTCCTGCTCCTCCAGTTACAGCCACAGCCAGCCTGGATCTGCACAACATCAAGCTCAGCTCTCTGGGGACAGCAGCTCAGCTCTGAAGTGACTCGAGGAAAAGCCAAGGCAGGGTGGGGGCAATGTCAGGATGAGGTGACAGGCAAGTCACTCAACAGAATTCTCTTAATCTTCTAAAGAGAAAACAAGCAGGATTTATTTCAGGCTGGAACTAAATAAAAACATAATTTCCATAAAGCCTGTGCTAGTTCTGCTAACACAACATCAAACAGCAGGATTTGCTCTGGGGATTGCTCCAGGAGCCTCCACACACAGAAAGGTGCAGAGCATTTCCACATTTTACAGAGTTATTATTCTGTGGATGCTGGGGCTGATTTGTTTTTCTCAGCCAGGAATTCCAAGTGCTGTGTCTAACAGCAAGCTCCCCTTCCCTGAGTGATACAACATCAAACCAAGGGCTGAAGGATCTCACTTTGATTGTACTGGCCAACAATTAAGAATGTTTGCTGTCCTCTGTCAAATTTGGATGTGAAATGTAAGCTCTATGCTAATTAAACCAAACAGGAAAAACATTTTTCTGTTCTCATGCAACCAATCACTCCTGGCCCCAAAGCACAACCCAAGAACAGTTCCTTTCATCCTGAAATTAAACTCAGTTGCCAAGGCACGGGTTGGGTGTTTGGTCAGAAAGGGAAATGCTACCAAGGGCAAACCCTCAGGGCTTTGGAGATTAGGGCAATCAGAGATGGGCACTGAGAGGATAAACCCTGGAATTCCCAGGCTTTCAAGGACAATCCAAGGGCAAGATTTAAATAATCCAGGGAACAGCATTTCTAAGAGACTTCCACCAGGCATCCCCTCTCACGAAGTAGATTTTGGCATCAGACTGCAGCTCTTGGAGCTACTGTTTCAGGCTCCTGGCAGCCTCAGGAAGATGCAGTGACAACAGCATTTATGTTTTAGGAGGAATTTCTGCACAGAAGGGGGGATTAGACATTGGAATTACTGCCCAGGGGCGTGGCGGAGTCCTCATCCCTGGAGGTGTTAATGGAAAGACAGGACAGGGCACTCAGGTGTCTGCTCTGGGATCAGTCACAGGTTGGGCTTGGTGATTTTGGAGGTGTTTTCCAACCTCAGTGATTCTGGGATTTTCATAAGGGCTATGAACTATTTTCTTTAAAGTTCCGATCAAACACACCTTTAAAGTTCTGATCAAACAGTGATTCTTGACATTCCCTCAAAACCCAGCCCTGTGCAAACACAACAGCAACAGACCTTCACCAAAGCAACAAAGGCAGCTGATTTGAGACTTCTATTTTTTTTTGCCTTAGCAAAGAGTTGTAAAAAACATTAGGCAAATTCTGACACTGTCAGCTGACACCCTCCTGTCACAAGAGACACAGAGGATTTACCTTGAGGGCTTTTTTCTCTGGGCTCTAGGAGAAAATTTCAGCTGGGTCAAACCTTCTAAACCTGTCCCTGTTTTCTCCCACTTTTATGCCATGGGAAGGCAGAAACTTGATTTGGGATTTCAATTCAACAAACAAATCCATTGGGTTTTGGGGGTGAGAACTAAAAGGGAAAAGGGGGCAGTGGGTGGCAGGGAGAGGAAAAAGCTTGTTCTGCTCTGTTGCAAAAGAGCAAACAAAAGAACCCTGTGATAGCACAATGTGTTGCTGATTACAATAATGCAAAAAGTTCCTTTTGAGGAGCTGGGGAGGACTGCAAGGATTTATTTCCATGTGGAGAGAGGCCAAAGATATTCCTGCTCTCTTTCAAACAAGCTGCACACTTCTGGGTTCTGTGCTGGCTGGTCAGCCCTCCCTAGACTTGCTTAGCCCTATTCCTGTCCCTACCTCCTGCTTTTGGCTAAACCAGAATTTAAGGGACATCCCAGCCCAGGTCTGGTTGATCCATCTATGTGAACATGGGCAAAGCCAGCACTGGAAGCTTCCCCCATCCCTTTAAAGCCAAGGGCAAAACATTTCCTGATGTTTTGAAACTTTGGATTGAGTGTTGGGATTTAGCTTTTCTACTGAAACCAAAGCTGATATTCCCTATCATCCCCTGACCAGCAATTCCCAGACCAATTCCACACTTCAGCCCTCTGGGGTTGGCCAAAAGAAGTGCTCATGGGTCTGTGCCATAAACTCTGAAGTGATTTGGGTTAAAAATAACTCCACCAAAGGCAAATAATCATTTAATAATCCCTGCCATGGCTGGGAGAGCCTTGGGGAAAGAGGACAGCAGGCTGGATAAATTCTTCTGGCACACAATTGCTGGGAAAGGAGCTGAGGAGGGGAATGTGGCCCCTTTCTGACAGAAACCTGAGGAAAAAAGTCCTGGATGCTGAGTGCCAACACAAATCTCCCAACAGCATCCATGGCTATGACACCAGGTTTGATCCCAAAATGTGGTGGCAGATGGACTCCTGAGCATCCCTGCTGGAACACCAGGGCTCTCCTCACCCTCTGCCCTCCCAGATCTCTGATCAGAGCCACTTCCCATACTCTGCTGTGGAGAATGAAGGATTCTCTGTGTCAGAGTGAGTAATGCTGACCCCTGAGCCAGCCCAGGCCAAGGCAGACAGCACCGAGATCTCCCTGGAAGCACTGCAGTCCTGAGTGAGGCCCACTGGGATGGGATGGGATGGGATGGGATGGGATGGGATGGGATGGGATGGGATGGGATGGGATGGGATGGGAGGCTGTCCTTATCCTGCTATTTCACTCTGCTTCCCACAGCTCCTCATCTCAGTGACACAGGAACACCTGGATTTTGTGAGACCCCACCTGGAATCCCGTGCTCAGCTCTGGCATCCCCAGCAGCACAAAAACATGGAATGATGGATCAAGTCCAGAGGAGGCCACAAAGTTGGTAGAAGGATTGGGACACCTCCCCTGTGGGGACAGGCTGAGAAAGCTGGAGTTGTTCATCCTGGAGATATCCCAGCACCTTCCAGGATCTGCATAGGCTACAAGGGAGCTGGAGAGGGACTGCTCATCAGTGACAGGACATGGGGAATGGCCTCAGAATGGAAGAGAGGAAAATTTAGTTTAGATACAGAGAAGGAATTGTTCCCTGGGAGGGTGGGCAGGCCCTGGCACAGGCACCCAGAGCAGCTGTGGCTGCCCCTGGATCCCTGGAAGTGTCCAAGACCAGGCTGGACAGGGCTTGGAGCAACCTGGGACAGCTGGGAAGGTGTGCAGGGGCTTGGAATAAAATTCTCTTCCAAATCCCTTCCAACCCGACCCATTCCATAATTTTAAGATGAAGACTGATGCTGCTGCCCTGGCGGGCTGCAAACAGCACCAAACATCTCCAGTGCTGCAGATCCATCAGCCCTTCCAAACAGGTGAGCAAAAGCTGTTTGCAAGGCTCATCTCAGAGGGTTCTGACCCCAGATTGTCCAAAACCTCCTTGGGACAGACCCAACTTTTCATGCTGTGCCCTCTTGACATGCTGTGTCCTCGTTTCCAGGAGCTCTGAGCAAACAGGGATTTGTGCAACAGACAAGGCCGGGGCAGCAAGGCCAGCACGGTTGAACATTTTATCATTCACTTGCACAAAATGTCCAAATATGTGCACACAATCCAAGGACATATTTCTGGGAGCTGGCAGCCCGTGGAGCCTGCTGGTGTCCCTCAGGAGAAACTTGTGCAGCCCACACTTGGAATCCACCCGTGCATGCCGGGGACTGCAGCGAGGCTCAGCTTGGCAAAGGTGCTGAGATGTGGGGAAGCATCCCAAAAACCACCCCAAAACAAAGCCCTGCCTACACTGCCTGCAATTTCAGTGGCAAAATCCTTCTGCTGAAGGATTTGCCAGCTTGGATGGGTGCATTTTTTGAGTTTTTCCATTCTAAATGCTCTATCACACACCCAAAGATGTTTGTTGTTAGAGGGTTTCCATCTCTGCCACTGGGATTCCCCCACAGTTAATTTCATTTCATTTAATGAAAATTCTTTTCCTACTGCTATAAAATTCTCAGCAAAAGAATTATTTCAAAACCAAAAGGAAATACTTGCTAAAATATAGTGATTTTTCCACCACCCACTCTTCTTTCCCTCTTCATAAACACAAATATTTTAATTTGTCTGTACAGTTTCAATTTATAATAAGCACAGCACAAATAACTTGATAATTGGGACAAATATAATAGCCAGTGCCCCAGATAAAGATCAGAGTAACCCATAGAAAACATTAAATGAGAAAGCAAGTAGCTTCATGAATTTAGAGTTCCCAGAAACAATGGGTTGGATTTTCAAGGCAGATGAAGCCAAATAATTCTCCACTGGCATCCAAATAAAGTTTTCCAGAGTGCTCAGCTCTCAGCAGCTCTTGCTGCCCTCCAGTAACTCAAATTGATGTCCCAAAACTGTGACCTCAGAGGCACAAAAGTCCCACAGACACCCCCCCAGCACTGTGGATTTAGAAGTGTTTCTGGAGTGCTTGATAATGATTCTTTAGTATTGATGATGTTGTGGCTCTTGCACTTCCTTGAAAGTCCTTGAACAGCTCAGAACACACAAGAGCACTCCAGGAAAATGCAGCCAAGGATTTGTTTGCACCTCCTCCCCTCTGGAGCTGAGGGTGCATTACTGGCAGCACATCCTTGCAGCAATCCTTAGCTGTAATCCCATATTTGCAAACACCTGGATTTCAAACTCCTAAACATTGTCCTGGCCTCATCCAGCCCTGCTCCCCAAGGATCAGCTTTTATTTTTTTTTTTTTAACAATGTATTTTCCACCTCACAAGTCTTCACAAGGAAGTTAAGCTACTCTCTGTTGACAAAAGCCCGTGTTTAGAAGTGGATGATTTATTTACTCACTGCCTCTTGGTTCATTTAGTTTTGCTCTAAGAACAGGAATGCATCAGCAAAGCCAGGATTTGAAGGAGAAAAGGATGGAGAGAAAATGATGAGGAAGTAGCCAGGAAAATCCAAAGGGCAAATACTTAAATAGCCCCTATCAAATGCTGCCTTTTTCACACCCTGGTGATAAACCAGACCTCCCACCTCCAAACCCCTCTGTGCAGAGCTGAACATTCAGATACCACCAGAGGCACACACAAAATAAATGTCACTCATTTCCCTGGGGAATCCTGACAATTTCTGCTTCATATAGACACCACATTTTGTTCTGTTCCCAAAATGACAGAAAAGTGATGATTATCCCTGGTTTTCTCCAATATTGCCATTTAATCCACACAGCTCCAAACAAAAGGTGTTAAATCAACACTCAAATACAAATAAAGGGTCAATCTGTGCTCCACTCTCAGTGAAAGCTGCAAAAAATTCAGTTTCTGCTAAAGGTACAAAAAAAGAAATAAGAAAAGTGTCAGCAAGGCCACTTACTGAGAAGTCTGACACCAAGACAGACAAACTGATCAAAAATATGTTGGCAGGATGGATGGAGCACAAGGGGTAGGCCTTCAACACAATTACATTCAATAATATCCTAAAAAAAAATTACAATTCAAAAATAATTCAATGGAAAAAATGCACTAGGACAGACAGAGCTGTTATTTATTTATTTATAACCTCAAATCCTCAACCACAGGCAGGGTAAAATGCTCTCCCACTATTGGAATAAAAATAGTCCTGGCTAGAATTTGTTTGTTGTAGATACATTACCTAAAGAAATTTAACTCTTTTAGCTGGTTAGCAAATTTTAACAAACAACTTTTGATTTCCCTGGGAGTATTCCCTTAAAATTCCTCAGTTTCTGCAAGATGTGGGTGCACAATTCCTCATTGCAGCATTCCTGCTGTACTCACTCATGCAGGATCGTGTCTGCTCCCTAACTGGATGATTTTAGAAATGAAAATCCAATGACAAAGAAAAAGTTTTCCCAGCAGGAACCTCCAGTAAAACAATTCACTCAAGGCTTTCCTGAAATTATTTGGGAAGCTGAGGAAGTTTCTGACACTGGGCAGGGGGAAATGGCCAAATCCATAACAGAGGAACTTCCAATAAAGATTCATGTTTAAAGTCCCTTTTCTCCCACCTGAAAACGAGCTCCAGCCACAAATTTATCCTTGGAAAGTAAATCCACTGCAGAAACAGGGGTGTACCAGCAGCAGGTTTTGTTTTCCTTTCACAACCAGAGCAGCACAGACTTTACCCACCAATTCCACCCCTGTGGGACAGCTCCCACTATCCCAAATTGCTCCAAGCCCATCCAGCCTGGCCTTGGACACTTCTAGGAAGGGGCAGCCAGCTCTTGATAACCCATTGGAAACAGCAACCTCAGATGTAGGGAAATATCTCTCCTCCTCACCATCACCCCTCAAACCCTTCTGCTCACAGATGCTGCTGTTTTGTTTCACCTGACAAGCACATCTGCTCTTTCACCAAGTATTTCTAATTTAAAAAAAAATGTTTCTATATAAAAATGGAGGACTTATCAGCAGGTTTTTGGTACCAGTAAGCCACCAGCAGCAAAGGTTTAAGATTTAACTTGAATGAAGATTGAACTTGCCTTGTGCCACCAGCAGCAAAAGGTTTAAGATTTAACTTGATTAAGAAGGAACTTGCCTTGTGCCACAGTATTCCCTGAGGTTTTGGTCGTTTGCAGTTAGTTTTGATAGTCTTTGTTGGAGTGAGGATGTAATCCACAGTTAAATCATGATCACCCAGGAGCTCCTCTGCTATGTCAAGCACCTACAAGGCAGAGATTTGGTTAAGTAGCTAAAAACAAACTCCCTAAAGCTGTGCCCCATTCCTGGTGTCTTGTCACATGAAAATCCATCAAAGACAATAGGAATAAAGATGCCAAACCAGCTTCATTCCATGTCTCCTCTCCAGACAGAGCAGGAAGTGTCCCAGAGCTCCCTCCCAGCTGCAGAGGGGATATTTGAACATCTGAGCTCACCTGGCAGTCGTGCACGATGGTAACCACAGGTGTGTCCTCCTGCACTGCACCCATGGACACCATCATTGCATATTCCATGTCTGCATAACCTTCCCCTTTGCCAATTCTCCAGCCTAAAGCACAGAAAAGTGAAAAAAACAACGACCCAAACAGCACAGTGGAAAGTTGTTGTTAAAATGGTGTAATTAACCCAGCAGTCTGCAAGTTGTAACTCTGGAAAAAATCAGATCAGCATCTCTCACAGAGTGTAGCTTTCCTTGAAATCGGCACTGAAATGAACTAAAACACCAGTTTCAATGACTCCTAAAAGATCCCAGAAGCTTCTTATTCAGAATAAACAAATTAAAAGCAGTTAAACCAGCAGTTTATTTAGCAATTGTATTTAGAACCTTCTATTCATGTCCAACACAGGTTAATGTGGGTAAAGAGGAACCTGGGTCACATATAAAAACTGTGTTATTTTAGGCAAGGGATAAAGTCAGTGGAAAATTTTTCAGCACCAGCAGGTTTCCAAAACACTAGAAAATGCAAAATCTGATCCCCAGACAGGTCCTGAATCAGCAGGTCTAACACGTGTCCTTTCACACAGCCGGTGTGAGCAGAGCAGATCTCTGAGCAGGAGCCTGCTTGGGCTCCTGTCAAACACAAAGAATTGTTTGCCTCAAGAGCTTTCCTGAAGGCCAAAACATCTCTGAGCCCACTGCTGTGTGCCCACTGCATCCTGAGGCATCCCAGCTTCCTGCTGGGACTGGGAGCAGGGATTTGGCACACACAAAAGAGCCAAGACCACAACTCAGCTCCATGGATAAATCTGTCTCTGCCACGTGATGTGGCCTTCCTGCCACTGTGCTGGGACTTGGGACTGTTATAGATGAAAATTAGTCTAGCTAAATTAAAAAAAAAAATAATAAAAAATTTATTTAGGATCGAATTCTCTCTGAGCCAGCCACAAGGAAAAGGACAGAGCTGAGCCTGGGTTTGGCATGGGTGAGTGACAGGAAGGAGCCTCTGGCAGAGATTCCCCTGGACACACACACCACCCTCCTGGGCCCTGCAGTTCTTATACGAAATGTTCTGCCTGAGGCCAGGATTTCAGCAATCCACCTTTTCTTTCTATTCAGAGTCCCACATATTCCTAAAGCTCTTTTCCCCCAGCCGGGGTTGAACAGTCCAGGTCCAGGTGTGGATTTTTCCTGATGGTTACAGAACTGCAGCTGCAGATGTTGCAGAACATCTTCTGAACTTCAGAACTGCAACTACAGATGTATCAGCCCGGAGGACCCCAGTGATCCCAATCTTGGGTCCTTACCAGGATGATCAGCTCCCAGGTCCTTTGGTATTGATCAACTCCCAGGTCCTTTGGTATTGATCAGCTCCCAGGTGTTCCAGTATCACCTTCTAGGACAGCCCATCTCCACACCAGCCACATGTATTAAATTGTAAATGAAGCATTGTCCAAAAAATAAAACCAGCTCTGGTGTAACCGAATATGTGTGGGGGGGGACAGCTCACAGTGCTGGTGTGTGTATTTTGTAATAACTAAATATTATACATGCCAAATCATATTTCCCTTGATTCAATACAACTGTATTTCATTGGTGCAAATTATAATCATACATAACAGGACCTTCCTGCTGGAGGTTTTTCCTTACCTTTTTCAGAGACAGCCACTGATCCCACAACAACCAAGTCCACTTGTGCTTTCCCATCCAGCCCCACAGGCACGCTATAGTCTTTTACACCCTGCAGGAAAAAAAAACAAAACATTTGAGGCTTGCAAAGTGCACAATCTTCCAAGAACTGAGGAAGAAATGCAGGATATTTTGATAAATCCAAGTAACTCCCCACATTTCCAAGTGTCTCTTCCATGTTTAGCCAAGCTGTACATGTCTGGGAAGTTATCCCCCAGGGAATCCTAGAATAGATTCCCTACTACAGTGACAGGAATTTTGGCACACTGCAAGGAGGGCTGAGGGAGGTGGGCACTTTTAGAAGCAAGGTTTTATATTTAGGATCAAAACCTGATAATTTTGAAACACTTTTTTGGAAATCTGTTCCTAAAAAAGAGGGCAAGTGACACTTCCTATTTACACTTCCCCACTCTACTAAAATCTTGAGGAATACCAGAGCACTACAAATGCTTCAATTAATTCTGAAATACAAATCACAAAGTTAATTTAGACACAGACAGATACAGTACAAAGAAATCTGAAGTTACAAAAAGTGATACAATTTTTATTTCTTCTCCTCTGTGTTCAACCCCACCCATTCTTCTTCAATCTGTTCTCATTTTAATGAAAATTCTGCCCAGACTGCAGAAATGAAAAATTATGTTTACTTGAATTTTTAAATATCAGAGGTTTAGAACTATTAAAAATAGATAAATTCAATTTAATTTATTTAATTAAAAAACATTGAATTGTGATTCAATCACTCCCAACGTATGTGTACAGCACACTGCAAATGTTCCTCACACCAAATCAACTCGCTGCTAATTATAAATTCACAACATTAAAATCACAATAAAGAGCCAAACATTTTCTGTGCAGAGCACAAACCCCAGGAATTCAGTAATTTGTGCCTGACTATCAGCACTAATGCCCATCAGGCATTCCCAGCAGTGTGGTAAGGATTGTTTGCACAGTGCTTTGTAAATACAAACTGCCAACAGCATTTTTTTCATTAGTGGGCTGGGGGAAAAACCAGACACATGGTGGTAAGAGCCCAGATCAGACAGCAGGCCAAGAGAAAGGACTCTTGCAAAAATGCTCTTCAGCCCTGAACAGCTTAATTAGTTAATGACTGCAACAGAACTTCCAACAAAGAAAGCAACTACTAATTACCAGCCATTTACAACCTCAGTTGTTGATGGGGTCGCTGCAGAACTTTATTGCCTTTAGCAGGAGATAAAGGAGGAATAAATCCCTGCAGGAAGCAGATAAAATGGATGTGAAAGCTGCAGGGCTGTGCGGCCCCAGGGCTCAGCTGTACGGTGAGGCTGAACACGAGAGGGCAGCAAGAGACCGCAGCAAGAGACCGCTGCAGAGCTGAAACCTCAGCTCGTGTGCTGGCCTCGCAGAGTGCAAACCCAAAATTCACCACAATTCCATTCACCACAACTCACAATTCACCACAATTCACAATTCAGTTCACCACAATTCACCACAATTCAATTCACCACAATGCACCACAATTCACAATTCAGTTCACTATGATTCACCACAATTCAATTTACCACAATTCACCACAGTTCACCACAATTCACAATTCACAACAATTCACAATTCAATTCACCACCATTCACCACAATTCAATTCACCACAATTCACCAGTTCACCACAATTCAATTCACCACAATGCATCACAATTCAATTCACAATTCACCACCATTCACCACAATTCAATTCACCACAATTCACCACAATTCAATTCACAATTCACCACAATTCACCACAATTCAATTCACCACAGCTCACCACAATTCAATTCACCATAATTCACCACAGTTCACCACAATTCACAATAATTCACCACAATTCAACTCACCACAATTCACCACAATTCAATTTACCACAATTCACAATTCACCACAATGCACCACAGCTCACCACAATTCAATTCACGGCTCTTTGGATGCTGTGTTCCATTAAAAACCTCAATTTTTCTATCTGGTAACACCTAAGGGCACTAGAATACCCCCCAGAGGGTTCAGCAGCTCAAAAGTGCAGAATGTAGGAGCATGAAGAAAGATCTGACTCACCTCAAGTCACTCATCATTTTCCAAAGAAATGAGAAATATCAATTCCAACCCCTTTCAACCCTGCTAAGACTGATTTTTCTCCTGATTTCAGTATTATCAATGTACACAAGCCCAGGAATAACATCCTAACAGGAAGGGATTTCAGGTTTTCCAACTTCCAGCTGGTCCATCCTAAGGCCACAGGTAAATTCAGCCCTCCCTGACTCCAGATTCCCACCTGAGATGTGGCACACCTTCTCAGCATCTCCTTGGTTGCACCGGGGGGAGGAACAATCCTGTTGAACAGCCCAGACCTCAGACGTGGTGTGGGAACCAGCAAAGTCTTCCCTGCCTGGGGAACCACATGAGAACGTTCATTTAACACTGAAGAAATATTTTTATTGTCACACAGTAAAAACCACATGGCCAAATATTTAATTTTTGATGCTGCAGATTGTGTAGTGCTTGTAAGATTAATTTCTTCCAATACAGGAAAATTACATTGAAAGATTGATTGAAGAAATAAAGGTAAAATAGAGATCTGAAGATATTTCAGGACATACCTTTAATGACAATTCCTCCTTTAAAGCTATGTCTCTAAATAGCTTTATGAGATAATTTCAAACTGACAAAGGGTAGAGTTAGATGGGATATTGGAAAGAAATTCCTCCCTCTGAGAGTGGGCAGAGAAGGTGTCCAGAGGAGCTGTGGCTGCTTCTGGATCCTTGGAATGCCCAAGGTCAGGTTGAACTATGAGGCTTGGAGCACTCTGGGATGGTGGCAGAGTTAGATGGGATACTGGGGAGAAATTCTCCCTGTCAGGGTGGGCAGAGAAGGTGTCCAGAGGAGCTGTGGCTGCTTCTGGATCCCTGGAATGACCAAGGCCAGGCTGGACACTGGGGCTTGGAGCACTTTGGGATGGTGAAAGGTATCTCTCGCCATGGCAGGGGGTAGAAACTGAATTACCCTTCAAATCCCTTCCAACCTAAACCACTCCATGATATTGATATTGATTTGATATTGATTTGCTATCCACACACTGCTGCACATAAAACCCTTTGAAGATGCAGTGCCAGGTGTTGCTGAGGTGTTGCTGTCCCCTCCCAGCTCCTCCTCAGGGCTTGCCCAGGTACCTGCAGAGCTGCCAGCCGGGCACCTTCCAGAGGCTTGTCAGGATCCACCTTCACCTCCCGTGCTCTGCTGAACACATCGAGCTCCCTGAGAGAGCAGCAGGCCTGCAGAGAGCCCTGAGAGAGGGAGGGAGCCAAGAGCAGAACATTTTTGATTTTGATTTTGGTATTTTTACTCACTTCCAGCATTAGGAAGCGGGCGTTCCTCTGGGGAGCGTCGGGGTTGCATTTTACAGTCCGGGCAGCCCGGAATTCCTGCAAGCCCAGC